GCAGACATGATTTAGAAATTGCCCATCAGGATTGGTGGTGGGAAGTCAGTGATGACCTTGGAGGGCAGAAGCAAGGTTGTAGTGGATTGAAGAGGAAGCAGAAAAGCTCTGGCGGGCCCTTTGGGTGAGTGGAGAAGGAAGAATGTGGGCAGTGTGGGCAGTCACTGAGCAGGGAGGGCTATGAGCTGAAGTTGGTATTTGGAGACTTGGGGAATATTTGTGTGGGTTTTTCCCCCTTCTGCTTTTCATTAGAGAAGTTTAGGCATGTAAAAATACCGACAGGAGGCCACCAGAAAAGGAGAGTATGTGGGGACTGGGAAGACACAATTAGCTAAAAGCAGATCTGCAGGAGGCAGGTTGTAGACCAGCTGGAAACTCAGAGATGCAACACCAACTTCAACTGTCACTGAAGACAGGGAGGAGTCCTTGGATTGGGACACTTTGTTTGGTGTGTTGGCAGCACACCAAAGCTCTTCTCAGAAGCAGCTCCTGGTTTGCCAAGAGGAAATGGTCATTGGGGACAGTGTGACGGAGGTCTGGTGGGTGAGGTTGACAGCAGGGCTGAGCCCCTCTCCTCCAGGAGTACCCACCGATGCAGCCTCCCTGGGCATCGTCACCATTGCGCCTAGCAGCCAGGGTTAGTCATGACAGGGGCTGAGCCAGGCTGAGACGTTGTCGGGGGCACGTGATGGAAAGATGGTGTAGCAGGGTGGTGTAGGATGTCAGCCAGAGGCGGAGCCACCATTTCAGTGGCCATAATTTGCTTTATCAACATTTACGGGCATGTTCTTCACATGTTGGTTAGCATTTTTAACTTTGAAAGTGAAGTGTCATTGTGTTCTTGCATGTGGAGAACATAACGTGGATATGAAGTAAGCTAGAATTTCTCAAAGCCTGGTCACCAGACAGCAGCCGCAGCAGCATCTCCAGGGGAATGAGAAACATGGGTTCTCAGCTTCCATCCAGATGGACTCAATTAGAAACCATGGGATTGGGGACCAAAACCTGCCATACAACAACTCCACCAGGCCATTTGGGTGTATGCTCACGTTTGAGAGCAATTAGCAAAAAGAAAAAGCTGTAACACAAGGTTAGACATGACAGTAAGATTTTAAAGAAAGATTTATTTATTTTTAGTTTTTATATGAGTGCTTGCCTACATGTATGTATGTATACCACATGCATGCCTATTGCCCTTGGAGCCAGGAGAGGGTGTCGGATCCCTAGTACCTGAAATTAGAGGGTTTTGTGAGCTGCCATGTAAGTGCTAGGGAACTAACCTGGGTCCTCTACAAGACCACCAAATGCTCTCAGCCACTGAGCCACCTCTGCAGCACACACACACACACACACACACACACACACACACACACAGCTCCCTGTTTGAAAGATAAAGTCTTATTATGGAGCCCAGGATATCCTGGATAACTTGTGGTTCTCCTGCCTCGGCTTCCCAAGGGCTGGGCTTCCAGGCATGTGCCGCCACACCTGGCTATGGTATGGTGAGCCCCGCACAAGTGCGATGAGTACCAGGAGGGCAGGAAGCTGGTTCATCTGGTGGAGCAGACCAGGCACCAAGACGGCTTCCCGTTCCTAACAAAGGTTTCAGAATGTATGGAAATTGATGGCATGAGTACTTAGGAAGGATAGCAGAAAGACGAAGGGGAGGTGGGAGAAGCTCCCATGTGATCAGTAATTAAACTGAGTCATTAAATCTACTTCCAATCCCCCCCCCCAAAGCAAACAATAGCTGGTGTGAAAGCTAGCCATATCTGTGTCCTGCTCTCATGAATGGCTTTTGCAATAAAAGCTTTTTTTAAATGTCTCAAAGTTCACATGCGCTATTTTTTTTAAAAAAGACATCTGTTTCAGCAGGGCACAGTGGCACAGGCCTGTAACCCCAGCATTTGGGAAATGAAGACAGAAGGATCAGAAATTCAAAGTCATTCTTAGCTGCTCAGTGAGTTTTGAGGTCAGCCTGGGATAACACATCTATTTCTTTTCTTTTTCTTTTTGTTTTTTTCAAGTCAGGGTTTCCCTGTGTAGCTTTGGTGCCTGTCCTGGATCTTGCTCTGTAGACCAGGCTGGCCTCAAACTCACAGAGATCCGCCTGGCTCTGCCTCCCGAGTGCTGGGATTAAAGGTGTGCACCACCACCGCCCGGCAAAACACATCTATTTCTTAAACGTGGGATAAACTAGCACAGTAGAGATCTTCATATATTTAAAGAGAGTAATAATTAACTGAGAAACGCTCAACTGTTTTTTAAACAGACTCTATAAAAGTAAACTTTTGTTATCTAAGTGTAGCAGAGCCTTAGTTTTCTATTGTGATAAGACACCATGATCAAGACAACTTACAGAAGAAAGTAGTTTGAGCTACAGTTCCAGAGGGCTAGAGTCCATGATGGTGGAGCAAAGGCATGATGGCAGAACAGCTGAGAGCTCACATCTTGATCTGCAAGTAGGAGCAGGGAAGAGACTGGGAATGGTGGTAGTCTTTTGAAACCTCAAAGCCTGACCCTAGTCACACACCTCCTCCAATAAGGCCACACCTCCTAATCCTTCCCAAATAGTTCATCAGCTGGGGACCAAGCATTCAAGCATTTGAGCCTATGTGGGCCATTCTCATTCATACCACCATAGATCACATGTTACTTTAAAAATGTATCAAATGAAGAAAAACATAAAGGAAAGACAAAAGTCACGGATAATGCCAAATCTACAGCCATCGTTACATTTGAGATTAGTTCCTTTAGGCCTTTGTTATACCTACATATAAAAGGAAATTGATGTTTAATTTTTTAAAAGACTTATTTTTATTTTATGTGTATGAGTGTTTTGTCTGTATTTATGTAAGTGCACTGTGTGGGTATGTGGTGCCCTCAGAAGCCAGAAGAGAGCACCAGATCCCAACGAACTGGAGTTGAGGATGATTGTAGCCACCATGTGGGTCCTGGAGACCAAGCCCGGGTCCTCTCCAGGAGTAGACAGTGTTCTTACCTGCTGAGCCATCTCTCCAGTACCCTAGATGTTTAACTTTTAAGCATGATTAGGATTGCATTTTGTTTTCACTTTCATCTCTGAGTAATACGTTTTTAGCTTTTATTTTTCCTTACCTCCCGGGACGGGATCCATTGTGTGAAGAACTGTGTCCATAGTGATGACTCCTGCCATTAAACATGTCTTTGGATTGTGGTCTTCAAATCAGAACATACATAAATCTCCAGGACACCCTGTTCAAATGCAGATTTCTGGCATCTAGAAAGTCTGACATAGCAGCCCTGTGTGGGGCCCAGACATTGCTAACAGGTTTTCTGTACCCCAATAACAGGTTTCTCTGCTGATGCAGTAAGAACAGGTTTATTTGAGCAAAGCAACTCCCGGATGAGTTCTGCAGTCCCAGAGATCCAGGCAGGAGAAGTCATGCACCTGAACTGAAGCAGGGAGCTTATATGGCCTGGAGGGGAGGGGTGATGATGTGTCCACCACAAGCTGGGTCTGTGCCCAAGTATGGTCAAAAGCTGAGCACTTGGGCGGGGTCTTGGGCTGCTGGCAACTTCAGGGGAGGAGCTGCTGCAGCCCCAATAATGTGGAACTGGGCTCTTTGGTGCCTTCCCTTTGTTCAAAGCTTCTCTGAGTGGACCGGAGCTTTCCAGATCGAGCAGGAGTGAGCTGGAGGTTCCAGCCCAACAACTGCTCTAAGAGCATCCATCGCTCAGGCCCTTGAGTCTTAAGTGTTCCTGGTCACTTTGGAAGCTGCTGGCTTTGGGACAGGGACTCTTGAGCTTTTGAGTCCACTAGGTTATAAATTGCTGTCTTTCACTTGTAAGGTAGTAAGACGGAGATGGTTAAAAGGAAATAGAGTATTGTAAATTATCACAAATTATAAAGTTTGCATCATTACATCTTGAAACACTTTCAACAAAGTCAAACCTTCCATAATGCTCCCCTTTTCCTTTGAAAAGCACTTGAGAAAAAAAAAAGGTGCCTTTAAATTCAATAAATTCAATAATCTGATAGCAACTACATCTTTTATTTCTCGAAGAGGGAATACTTACTGGGCAGAAGCCAGGGGCCAAACTAACAGAAGTGTGGGGCCAGGACAGACTTCAGGGCATGCAGGAATCTTCCTGGCCTCTGTAAAGAAGCATGCTACTGCAGACATCGTTACTGAGGACATGAACTCGGGCTGCATTTGGTTCTTCCTTGTGAAACACATTGTCGGTTTCTCTCTGGGTTTGGCTTTTGAGACAAGGTCTCTCTATAGCCCTAGCTGTCCTGGAATTTGCCTGGACTCATAGAGATTTGACAGCTTCTGCCTCCAGGGGCTGGGATCATGGCACCCAGCCTGGCATCAGTTCCTATCCACATAGCTTTGTAGGCTGGCCAGACTGAACTGTGTGTCCTGTGTTTGGTTTTAGGGAGATGAGAAAAAAAACATATTTCACTTCATACTTAGTAAATAAATTGCTATATCCTAAAAATAGAGTACTAATTATTAAACAAATTAAACTAGGCAAAAATGTTAAAATGAAAGCATCTGCCCATCTCCAAGATCCACTGTTAAGAAAAGCAAGTGAGGTGACCCATGTATACATTTAAGAACATCAGTTGTGTAAACTGGACACACTCAGTCCTAGCACTTGGAAAGCTGAGATTGAGATAAGAGGATTGCAAGTTTGAGGCCAGCCTGGGGAGACTCTGTCTCAAACACAGACAGACAGACACAGACACACAGACACACAGACACACACACACACACACACACACACACACACACACACACACACTTTCTAGAAGGATATTCGAGACAGGGATTATTCTAGATGTTACCTTTGGATGTTGGAACTGTGCATAGAGAAATTTGCTGTTCATTTTATGCCCCTTGGTTCTGCCTCTGCCTCTTGAGTGCTGGGACTGAAGGCACGTGCCGTCCCACCCAGCTAGAAGGATAATTGAAAACTGGAGTGAAATGGTAACACTGTGCTCTGCTGTTCAGCTTATCCTAGGTTTTTTCATCTTTCTGCTGCCATGGGCTCCGCTTTCTCTCCGGGCGGTCATCATGCCCATACATGTGTATTCTGGACTCCTCCTCTTTGCAGCTGTGATTGCGACAGTCCTTATGGGAGTGACGGAGAAGCTGTTTTTTGTCCTGTAAGTTTGCCGCCTTCTTTCTCCTAATACTGAAGCTACAAAATACGGAACACCTATCCACTGGGGAAGCATAATATAGAGAGCTATTTTAAAAGATTCATTTCTATTTTGTATGTACGAGTGTCTGGGTACTATATACATGCTGCGCCCTCCGAGGCCAGAAGAGGGCATTAGATGGATCCCCTGGAACTGGAATTACCAGCAATTGTGAGGTGCTGTGTGGGGGCTGGGAAACAAATGGGTCTTCTAGAAGAGGAGCAATGCTCTTAACTGTTGGGCCATCTCTCTAGCTCCATAAGTAGCCATCTTATCAGCAAAATTTTAAGTTTATCATCCCATACACATCATATAATATTACTAAAAACATAGAATTATTGGGACTATGAGTTGTGCATTCATCTCCTGGGGGTGCATTTTTATGCCAATCGTAACTATAGTGTGTATACATTTTTGTTTGTATCTTTTTCCAGTTTTCAAATGACATGAGGTATCCCAAATGCTGTAGTCTTTCCTTACGTGGAATTTTAAAGTATTCTACAGTGTGAATCACAGTATACCCTAAATGTCTCTTTAAGGCCATGCTGTAAGGACATTGATGTTGAAGCTGTACCATGGTTCACTCTGAGCAGGTGGATTCAGTATATGTTGTATGCTTGTAACTGGGTCTACTCTCTCTCTCTTCACAGGAAAAACCCTTCTTACCATTCATTCCCGCCAGAGGGTGTTTTTACAAATGCCCTGGGCCTTCTGATTCTGATATATGGGGCTCTCATCTTCTGGATTGTTACCAGACCACAATGGAAACGTCCCACAGAACCAGGGTCTATCCTCCTTCAGCCAAATGGAGGCGCCGATGGAATGGACGGTGCTATAGCAATAAGCTCCGGTCGCAGCCCAGATGCAGCAGATACAGAGCTAAGCAGCGAGGGAACAGCCAGAAAAAGAACTCTCGGTCTTGAGGATGCTGGCCAGAGATCCACCATGTGAAATGTAGATGCAGCCACGTAAATTCTCTTCCAAAGTCAGCCGTACAGTTCAGCTTCTCCTGCCTAGTCATAGGTGACTTGGGTTCATAGTGTCGAGGTATACTGTGGTCACCAGGGAGGATTTCCTGAGACTGATTGTATTGTAAGGCCTGTGAACTTACCAAATGTAAAAGGACATGATCAATATGAGTTGTGATTGTTTGCTCTTTATTCTCGAGGACCCGAGCATTGGATGTGCACCCTTGGCCTCTCACTGGGCCCCGTAAATTCTGGGAGCCCGGTGATTTCAGAACAAGGTAGAACCAGCCCTAACTTTTAAAATAAGATCACAAATACCTGGACCAGTGTTTGGACCCTGGCACCACACAGCTGTTGTGAGTAAAACATGTTGTGGGGAGCGGCCCTTTAGAAAAAGAACCAGTTCCCTTTTCCTATGGTGGCCTTCTGTTCCCTCTCCAGCTACTTTGGGCTCACTTGGGCCCTGGACGTGAGAGTGTTCATGAAGGTGTTTTGGAGCAGTTGCTGGGTCAAAGACAGCTAAAGAGATCTCTGGTTAGAACTGGAAGATTTCTTACACTCAGCCCAGTGCCTAGACTCTCAGAAGCTGGTTCACAGGTCAGCTTCTGAACCTCTCTTACAGTGCCAACGCGTCTGAGCTCAAGCTGCATAACCCGCTCGCTCTGCATCCGCACACCGTGACGAGCACATTCCCTCAAGTTTCTGTTTTATTTTCCAAAGTGCTTGCCTGGCTCTCACTATGTGCCAGCCACTCTCCTACTAGGCACTTTACAAATATTAGCTCCTTCGGTTTCCAGACAGACCTCGTGAGACAGGTATTGTTACTAGCCCCATTTTTAGGTGAAAGATCTGAAGCTTGGAAAGGTTAGTAACTTGGCCCGACATCACATAACTCTTAAGTTGATGGAACTGACATTCAAACCTGGCAGTCTGGCTCCTCTGCCCATGTGCCTACATTTCACTGGACTTCGTTCCCCCATTTAAACCACTTGGCAGGACGGCCGTCCACCCCTGAATGAAGTGGCCAAGTGGAGCCTAATGGAGTTGTTACAGGATGCTGCTTTACCCTTGGTCCTCTTCCAAGGGGACCCTTTAGAGGGTGGGAAAGGCGCCATAAGGTCTTAGATGTAGATCTTGGGGCCTCAGCCACTGCCAACAAGCCAGAGCCTGCCTCCATGCCCTTTTAATCTTAATAGGGCATCTGTCTTGCTGACGGGAAGACCTGGGCTGGGGTCCTCACAGCCGTCATGATTTAAGTCATTACAGTGCTTATTCCCCACGATCGTAGCTGCTGAACGACTTTTGATTCGGAGAGACTTGTATCCTGGGCTGTCTGTCCTTCCCTGGGGCCGTAGGCAGGTTCTTTCCTGATTTTTGTGGAATTTGGAGTTCTTCGTAGAGAACTGAGGTCCAAAGGTGATAGTGTTCACATAGCCAGACTTCTGTCTCAGCTCTGAGGGAAATCTGCGGTAGGAACTGCAGAAAGGATGCCTGACGGGGATTGGTTGATTTCACTGGGTTTTCTGATTGTGATTCTTGGGCACACATGTGTGAGCCTATAGTTCCAGCTGCTTGAGAGGCTGGTGTCTGAGGCTAAGTTCAAAGCCAGCCTGGGTAACATAGTGCAACCTTCTCTTGGGCTTTTGACAGTCTCTAGTAACCCAAGTTGACCTCACTCTTGTAACTGAAGGTGACCTTGAACATGTGGCCTGCCTTGCCTTCACTTCCCACATGCTGGTTTACAGGCATGTGCCAACTAGCCACCATGTCTTAGCACAGCTCTGTTTTTTTAAATAAAAAATAAACAAAACACAAGAATTTTAATGTGGAGAAAAAAATTTGTAGTTTACAGCAAAATATACTCAGTATGTTTGGTGTGTAATGGAAATCCTTTTAGGTAATATGATTATTTTCATAGCCTGGTGCAGTGGCACACATCTTTAGTTCCAGCACTCAGGAGGCAGAGGCAGGAGGACTCCTGTGAGTTCAAGGCCAGCCTGGTCTACAGAGCGAGTTCCAGCACAGCCAGGGCTGTTACACAGAGCAACCCTGTCTTGAAAAAACAAAACAAAAATACAATTATTTCCAAAGCCTAAATACAACTTACAGTCCATCAGAGCTCTTGAACTTCGTAACAAGTTACAATTCCCTCAATACATCATTGCTTTCTTCTTTTTTAATACATTCTATTTCCAAAATTGGTTAACAGTATCAGAAGGACCATGAGCGACCGACCCAAGGTCACTCTTCAGCTAGATAGAGAGTTCAGAGCCAGCCTGGGGTACACGATACCTATCTCAGAAGTCCAATAAATAAATAAAGTTGGTCTGTGTGCTAAGTAGGAGTAATTACATGGTTACACCAAACAGTTTGCTAAATGATGACTTACCATAAAGAGCTGGGTCAAATCCTGGGGTTATTTTGGGGGGAGAATTGGAGGCTCGTAACTGAGCCCCAAGAATCATGGCTGCCTTTCCTTTCCACACAGGCCCACAGTGGCTATCAGTGCAATGCTAATTATGTGGCACCAGAATAGCTCCACTGCGAAGTATTTGAGCACCCCTCGTCTTAGCCCATTATTGTCTCTCGGGTGGGCTAATGTGAGGGTAATATTATAGGCATTTCTTTTCTTTCTTCTCCAGCGTCTATGAAAGGGTGCATAGCACAATATATCGAAAAGATCTTTCTATTTGAGACTCTTCTTTAATGGGCTCTTTATTCCGATGATAATTATACCTTTATCTTTCAAAAGCTGATGTTTCCTACCTAAAGCATCTCCCCCCCCCTCCCCAAAATATCACATTAAAAGTCTGCAAAGAACAGGGGAGAAGAAAGCTTAGGTATCAATTCCAAACAGTGATTGAAACCCCCCAAAATAATTATAGCTTATATCCTCTACAGAGATTATCTGGCTTGGCTTACCCCATAATCTAATTTCAGGAAAGAAAGCTTTATTTCAACACTGATCTACGTCAACATGAAAGCCTCCTCTTTCCCAGGGCTGGGCGAGAAGTCGAAATGAATATACTTTATTGAATTAATGTCATCAAAAGTGTACAGCTCCCCTGTGCCCGTGTCAAGCAGAGCCCACCCTCCACGGCCCTTTCTTCCTGTTAGCAATGTGGCTTTCTTTGAATCTGTGCACTTAGAAATAGCATCTGGAACCTTAGAATGGAATGATAGATTAAGGCAAGCGTACTTTTTAAGGACGGGTGACAAGTCCTTTCTAAAGGACAACAACGTAAATTGTATGTCTCATTTTAATTAGGCTTTCTTCCCCGCGGAGCTGGAAGCCCCTGTACCTTCATTGACCATGGCTGCACAGGGAAAATACAGGGGAGGAAGTCGTGCATTATTCCAGTTTTAGTTGTCCTGTGATGGACTATTTAGCTTTAGATGTCCATCTTTTTGTTTTTTTTTTTTTCCAGATAACTCCAACAGGAAACTACTATAACTTCTAGGTCTAACAGGCTTGTAGAGGAGAAAATGGGTGTTCTTCGTTTATGAGCTACCGGAACACTTTAAGCGGGAAATCATTTCTATCTATAAATGTGTCTTTTTATCTCAGTATATTGATGAAAAAGTATTATCTTGACTATTTTATAATTTTGTAGGGAATATATGTATCTATTTTTCTTGACTTTTAATATAGCAATAAAAAGCTACTTCTAAGCTTTTCGTGTGTGTTATCTGTTTGTCCTGGGGTAATGGGAATAATCATTTTTCTCGTAATATTTTTTAGTTGTTTTTCAATTGGGTTACTTTTTTCCCAGTTCTTTTATTGAAAATACTGCGAGCTTTTTCTGTATGCTCTGAGTACCAGTCTTTCTGTGATGCCAGAAGTATTGAGGTTGTCAAACCCATGGCATTCCCTTCCACACAGGGTCTGAGTTGGACCCAAGGCAGGGTGGAGGGTACTGCAGAGCATGCAGATAAACTGGGGGGAAAATCACAAGTCTATCCAGTGTACGGCCTGTCAAGTAACGGCTCTTAGTGGCTTTTAAAAATATATTTATTTTGCCGGGCAGTGGTGGCACACGCCTTTAGTCCCAGCACTGAGTGAGTTCGAAGCCTGGTCTAGAGTGAGTTCCAGGACAGCCAGGTCTGTTACACAGAGAAACCCTGTCTTGAAAAAAATCAATAAAATAAAATAAACCTATTTTTAACTATGTGTATGCCTTTGTGTCTGTGTGGGGTATGAGCTATTATGATTCTTGGCACTAGCGAGTAAAATTTAGGATGCCCAAGATGAGAAGAAAATCTGTTGAACTTCATCCCATGTCTTTTCTCTTGTTGCTGACCCTTCTTTCTGATGTCCTAAGGTCTCTGGACATTTCCTTTCTGTCTGGAGACTTCGTGTTTACTGTTTATTTCCAGGAGGTCTTCTGCAAGAGCCAGATGTGTGCTTAGTGGCTGAGATCTCTCCAGCTCCATCAATGCCTGGATCATTTCAAAATGGATTCACTTGCTAACGGGCTGCATAGAGCTATTCCTTAGTCTGCCTACCAGTTTACCTTGCATTGTGAACCTTGTGACTAGAGAGCCTTGAAAAGATTCCAGGCTCTGTTACCTGCCTCTAAAACAGGGGTTCTCAACCTGTGGGTCACGACCCCTTTGGGGGTCCCATATCAAATATTTACGTTACAGTTCTGCAGTAGCAGCGAAATAATTTTATGGTTGAGGGTCACCACAACATGAGGAACTGGATTCAAGAGTCGAACCATTAGGAAGGTTGAGAAGCACCGCTCTAAAGAGTCTACACCGCTTTAATAGGCAGTTCGTAAACCACGGGTGGACTCTTATTTTAGCTTTGGATGGGTTACTTGGAGTCTGTCTCTCATATATGATGTATAAGGGCCAAGCGGAGTTTACGTGCAGAATTTAAAGTTGTTCTTGTGATGTCAATCCTGGTTTGTCAGTTTGACTGGATTGAGAGATGCCTCAGAAGCCGGCAAAACACGTTTCTGGGCGTGTCTACAAGGACATTGCCAGAAGTGACCCACGGACCTGTGGGCCAGGGAACCGAAGGGGGAAGACTCAGTTTGAATATGACTAGCACCCTCCAGTAGGCCAGGGACCTTGGACGAGACAGAAAGCGGATGACAGAGTTTGCTCATGCGGACTCATGGGAGCGTCCTGGAGTGGGTGCGACACTCACTCCCAGCACAGCC